ACGGATTGAAAAGGGAGCGAAAGTTGTTTCTCAGACCATGTGACAAGCACATTGTATGTATTACACATAGACATTGGGGGTAAATAAGCACATTCCTCGAGTGACATAAGATATTTCTTATATTCTACAGAGATAATGTTAGTAATTTCTATTCATTTAAGACCAGTGTCTTTCTCTGATTGTGGCCAAGTAGACATGATAAAGCACATGCAGGCCTACAAGAGGTGTGATTTGATGAACGATCATTTTGATGGATCTGAAGGGTTAGACAACATGACGTACATGTAAATGTGTGGTGTTTAAAGAATGGAAACAATCTGGAAATTCCAGATGAATGGACTGAATACGCACATGTACTTAGTGAGAAATGCACAATTTGGCAGATAAGTTCAGTTGCCACAAAGAATGTGACTCATGAGAATCTATAATGAACGAAGGTGCTTGTGCATTTTTAGTTTTCCTGAATTACAAGGACTGCTTGTTTTAAATGGATGTATATGTGTTCATGTACGTGTTCAAGATAATGTGTGTACCAGACACATGAGATGGAAGTTTAAGGGTTATACATGTACATGGAAATTGGGTTAGTGTTGTTTCCGAGTATTTGACCAGTTATTGACAGACAAGTGTCAAGTCAAAGACTCAAGTGTAGTGAGGAAATTCTTTATTCCAGTTCATAGTCATGACCAAGTAAAGAATTGTGTATTGTAAGAACAGGCATTTGATACATGAACTTATAGGTTATTCAAGGACTGAAGTACAGTACAAGTGATGCTTCTGTGTTGGGTCATGAAGGACACTTGCTGCACACAAATTAATTGTACCTTTTCATGATTTTCCCGTTATTGTTAATAATCTTGATTGACATGTCGTTAAAAGTCAATGAGCAAAGTTTCTGTGAAATAATAAAGGTCCAAAGTAAATCTTCCTTTTTCATCTCACAGCTCCGAATCTGGTTACACTGCTATGCATTTTTTCTAGAATTTCGCGTTGTTTGACCTTGGCACTATGAGCTGGTCAGTCTTAAAGAGTAAGTCCTCTGCAACATGCACTTCGTCTCTGAAATCCCAATATGTTCTGACTTCATCAGGCACTCTTTCTTTTGAGTCTGGCCAGCCCATCTGCACTATTTGCTTCAGTTTTTGCAAACTGGGATCCTTATCATTTGCAACTTTGAACTTATATTTTTGTTCATAAGTGAATGAGAGGTTGTTAACCAACATGTTAACTTGAAGTTCAATCTCTCTATCTTGCTTGGCATTTGAGCTCAAATATTTGACATGTGCTCTTGAGAACAGATCTGCTACTAACACGTCTTGTGATGTGCCTGCTTTGTGAACTACCATTATTATCATACTGCTATATAGCTAGCAGTAGTATCAGTAGCCTTGGCGGTGCTTTAGAGAGTGGCTTTTTGCTCATGCTTCCCAGTGGCATATGATCTGAGATAACTGTTGTAGGGTTTCTCATTATGTACTGGTGAAGGTGTTCACAGCCAAACTTAATTGCCAACATCTCTTTTTTAATTTGCGCATAATTCTGTTGTGTGTCAGCGCTTTTGACGCATAAGCCATCGGTTGCCAACTGTGTATCAGCATCTGTTACAGATAACACTGTGACTTTTGTTACATCAAAATATTGCAAAGTTGGAAGGACTGTTGTTGCAAGATGCTTGAGTTCCAGGAGAGCCTTTTCCTGTTGTTCCTGCCAATGCCATTCGATACCATCCTTCAGAAGGAGTCTTAATGGACTGGATACTAAAATGTGGAATGTACCTTCCAATATACTGGATGGCACCCAGAAACCGTTCCAAATCCTTTTTGGTTTGCGGTGTTGGCAATTCCTGTATTGCCACAATTTTCGCATGGTCGCCAACGAAACTAACCCATGGTGTTGACACCCCCGACACCCCCGTCTCAAGCGACGCCCGTGGTTAGGGAGTAAATAGACAATGTTTACCTGGAAATTCTGTTTGTCCTCCTTCCAGAACGTCTTGCAGGTAAACCAGAATAGTGCCCATTCGGTCTCGAAGATCTCTGTTCCCAATCGTACAGTCTGTATGTGTTTTGTAACCTAAAATCCATGAAATTTTTTAATTCCACTTTCAAATAGTGGCTGGTTGACAGAGATTGATTCAAAAAATTGTTATATGGGTTGTTTTGGGGAAAACTCTCTATTAAGTAAAAGGCAAAAGAAAGAAAAAATTGCTCTCCAAAAGAGTTAGACCCTTATAAAATCACCCCAAAAGAACCAAACCACTCTAAAGGGAGCGAGAAGCACTCTACAAGAGTGAAAATTACTCCGATAGAACAGCAATATAAGATACAACTTTTCTTTGGCTTTTTTTCCAGTTGTCCGTTTAAAGAGTAGTTTCATTCTCTCAGAGTGATTTTTCACTCTTTTCAGAGTGGCTTTTTTTTACTCTTTTAGAGAACACCAAGATATTTTTCCTGGGAACCATCTCTTTTCTTCTGCAGCACTTCAGCTTTTGCTCCCAACCGTTCAGTCTCTAAATGCTATTCCTGCACTACAATTATGGTAACTGCATTAACGAACATACCAATTCCCTTGCCATATGACGTGATTTGGTATTTGCCGCCGTTAGATGGCTTGAGTCCAGTTGCTTTGTACACGCGATCATCAAATACTGATGTAAACTTAGTTTCGCCTGGATAGAAAGCCGTGCTGAAAGACCAGCCGAGGATAGATTTCAGATCTTTAGAGAAGGTTGAATTCACGCAAGTAGTTCCTGTAGAACAAATGAAAATGATGTAGAAAGCTATTTAATACCCTAATTGCTTAAATGAGTGGTTCTCGCTGATGCTGTAAAGTCACGAGGGAGGAGACAGGACAAGCTTTTACCATCACTCATAAGTTACAAAAATGGATGGAAGGAGCGCTTCAAATATGAAGCAAGACATGAGACGGAGAGAACCCTGCTTTGTGTTGGTCATTGTTTGACTAGAATCTGAGGAATTCTTTTCAGACATGGGGGGTGTTAGGTAACAATAGTCCAGAGTGTGTAAAGTGACTGGACTTGTTGGGGGGTATCCCTCTGTCTTATGTCTTGCTGGATATGGCGCTTCCTGGATAAATTGAAAAGTAAAACAGGGGAGGAGGATATGATTTCTATACTGCTTTAATTGCAATTCTTGGCGTACTCAGCAAAGGCGTATGGCAGATTGCTACCAGCAAACAGTATTTAGGCTGACACCCTCACCTTGAAAATAACACTTGAATACTCCATGTTGTAATTTTTGTATATTGATTTCCTCAATAGTGCATGAATATTGAAATATTTTAATAGTTGATGTGCAGTATGTTCTAACTTAATCTAGTCAATTTGAGGCAAAAGAAATTGCAGCATCAAATAATTTATCACCGCAGGACATTGGAGGCTCTTGTCACTAAGTGGGTCAGTAGTGTTCACTTGCGGTTGCTGGCACGGAGATTTAATGCCTCGAACTAGTTACTGGCGTGACCTTAAAAATGTTAGTAGCTCTGGAGAGAGTTACTCCCGGTCACTTGTGCTTGAGCAGCCGTGGCGTTTGGTTGGAAAAGAGAAAATCTGTCTGTTTTGCAAAAGCAATTTTGTTAATTATGCCCTGCGCCAATTCCAAGCGGCGGGCTCCTGGCCGACGGATGGAGCGAAGCGTTCCCGGGGGCGGCCGCGCAAGTCTTCTCGTCAAGATGCGTCGGTGGTCGCGGCCCTTGCAGGGTCTAGTGCACCGCAGCTTGCATCGCCCAGTCTGGATACCACTATTATACCGTTGGCTACTGTCGGAATGATTCCAGAGGGTGCGAGTGTTGAGTCTACCCATGCAACGCCAGCGCCCGCTATCATTAGTCGGCCTAGAGGGAGTTCGGCGAAAACTTTGGAGCCGGGTAAGTCCCCTGTTGCTACTCCTTTTGAATTAGCCCCGCAACCTTCCAGTTTCACGCCCGTAGTGTTGGGAACTTCAGCTCTAAGCCCATTGTCAATTACCTCCTCTTCCGATTCGAATATGGCATTAACTAGCGTCTCTGACGATCTCGGGGCCGCGATTCCTCAACATCTAAAAGACAAAATTTGGAGGGGACAGTACGTAGAATTAAGAACCTTGTTGAAGTCGTCGCGCGGCAAGGGTTTGGATAATTCCTTTGACGAGACACTTTTTACAATCGGGTCCAATGAATCCCCACAGATTCGTCCCCATAAGCAGGCTCCGCGTATTACGTCTATCGAGCAGTGGACGTCAGCGTTTCTAGTTTTTTCAACATCCTGCGACATCCTACCCACGCTCGTTCGTTACTGAAGTACGCAGACACTATTCGATCTGCGGCATTTCGACATGTGGGGTATGGTTGGCGCGAGTACAACATCCAGTTTCGATTGCGCCAGGCGCGTCTGCTGTCGCGCTCTTGGGCAACTATTGATGCAGAACTCTGGCTGATGCTGCTTGGTGCGCTCGTTTCGCACCAGCATAATTTT